TGCTGAACCAGAAGCACCAACTGGTTTTATTCACCCAACACAGCAGTGTTGTTCATTTGCAGCAGCCAGAGCTGTCCTGGTAGGCTTGACACACCTCCTCCACGGCCACAGACATCCGAAGGTTTGCTCATCACCTCAGTGGGTCCAGGTCCCACCCATCCAATGATCCCTGCCAAGGAGCAAGGGGTCACTCACTCATCCAAGCTAGGACAGGGACCTGACTAAGACCTAGTTAGTGGCTCTACCTGCTCTCTGCACTGGTGTCTGCATTTGCTTTTCTAAACCACAGAAAAGGGCCATCGGAAGCAGAAATTGTCAGTCTAGAAGGAAGTCTAGCAGAGCCTGCAAGAGCATGACTGTGCCACCTCCACAACTCTCTCAGAGCAAGCAGACCCAGAGGAGGAGGAGGAGAAATAAGAAAATTTCTGGCACCACTCAGCTGGTAGGACCAGAGCTGCTAGAAGCTTGGAGCAGGTGCCATCAGAAGCAAGGAAGGGACAGCTGAAGGAATTCTGCCCCCAGCTGATGAGGTTAACAGATGCCCACAGGAATTAAATGAAACGAGTGGAGAATTAGCACAGAGCCAAGAAAGGCAAATAAGGATCTGGAATGGTATCACCACTTCTGAGGAATCACTGGTGAAGATGGGCTTTGTTCTTACCTCGATGACACCAGCATGACACAATTGATATCATTGTGGAAGAACAATCAAGCTGAATAATAAAAAGCATTTGCATGTTTGGAAGCAAATCAAGCACACAGGTAGGCTTGAGATGAAGTGTAGTGCAAAACCCTGCACCCTCAACTTTTTCTGGAAATCTAGGCAACTTCTTACTGAGCTCACTTTGCCAGCCAAAGTACCACAGGATACAGTATGGATCTTTGCAGGTATGCAGGGAGAGAAGAATCTGTGTGACTTTTCCATTGTGTTATCTGAAGCCCTCACCTCAAGTCAGAGATGATGTCCTGCAAGTCACCATGATGAAAAAATCCCAAACCAGATATTTTCTAACTATTTATGTAGCTATATCTTCTAACTATCTGATGATGACTAGGGTGTTCAATGGAATGGAGCAAAGATGATAGAACTAGTAGAAGCTGTGGAGTCAAGAGGGTGGCAGCCCTTTGTCACTTGTCCTGCAGTGTTTCCCTCAGAGGAAATTAAGAATGGCTGCTCACATTGCTAGTGCTGGCCTAACAAACAGCTGCTGCCCCACTTCTTTCCAAACGACTGGCTGGATGGAGCCAGTGGTACTGGTGTTGCATCCACATAGAAAGCAGAGATGGAGTTATGTGTCCACAACTTCTCAATGGCAAATACATTCTTCACTACCCATAGCCAGGCACTACAGTAATGGTGGGGAAGAAGCACTGAAAATTGTTCATCTGCTGATAATTTACCTTCAGTGCTGAGCAATAAAAGGTGACTATGGAGCAGAAAGTTTGGGGGAGTCCTTGCCTCAGTGTTAAAAGTATCTTGAACAGAGACTAGAATCCATAATGTTTTTAAATGTAGTAATAGCAGGAATACAAAATTGCGACAGCGTGGCTACAAGGTACATGCAGGCTGAAGCAGCCTACTGATCACAGAGCCTAAGGCAGGCAGGAGCAGGGAGGGGTGTTACAAGTCATTCCCAGGCAGCAGTGATGCTTTTGAAACATGTTCCATGGGGGAAGGCACCCTAGCTGGGATTGTGGCTCCAGCTGACAAGGGAGCTCCACCAGAACTGGGTGCCAGGGGAGCAGCATGCCCATGCCATGCAGTGCAATGAGAGCTCACCTCAGACATTCACGGGTGTCAGGGGCTTGGCAGCACTGTGCCATGTCCCTCTGAGCCCAGTGGGCAATCCTGCAGCCCATCACAGGCACTTTGAGAAAATGACAGCGGATGCTTTGCCCCTCTGGAGACAAATGACTGTTTGCACTTGCAGTATCTGAACGGTTGCTGCAGTTAGACAAGCACAAAGCCACCGACACTCAGACAAGAGTTGGTATTATTTACAGCTCCTGGTGGCTCGTTGCGCGATTGCTAAAGTAAGAGTCTAGAAAGGAAGAAATGCTAACAGCAGCTTTAAAGGCCTGCACAGATAAAAAGACAACGCTTGATAGCTCTCCCCTGGGCAGCTGGTGGGACAAAGAACTGAAGCTCTTGCCTCTTAAAGCACTCCCCGGCTGCTTCGATTGATGCTGTGTGAGTCAGCCAGGCCAGGAGTCCACAGGGCAGTGCACGGTGAGAGCAGCACTGGGCTGTGTCCAGCAGTGTGGGCTCCCTTTCCAAACCCCTTCCGCCCGGCACTGAGGCCCCGCGGCAGTTCTGAGAGGCTCAGGACAGCCCTGGAGCCTTGTCCAATGTTTGCGCCGTGCCCTCGCTGTAACTGCAGCCCGAGGTCAGGAGCAGGACTGAGCACAGCCTCCAGCCCCCAGGGGCCCCTCAACCAACCGACACGTCTCCTTTGGTTGACTTCAGGCTCCCCTCTCCGACCGCTGCAGGGCAAGCCACCCCCTCTTTCCACTCCCACTGACCCCCAGCAGGACACAGTGCAGGGTGGTACAAGACACAGCCATCCACACAAGTGGTTTGAAATATTTTTAAACGCTTTTATTTACAGTGCTTGTTGAAAACAATATATATATTTATATCTATCATCCTCGTGATGTCTGTGCCATAGAAAATGCTGTGGCTATATTGCCTTTAATTTACAAAAAATGGTCACAAGAAAATCTGAAGGGAAAAAATGGAAATCAAAGTTTGGTCCCCAATTGTTTCTCTCTTAATTTGTTTTAAAAAAAGCCTCCAAATTAAAAAAGTACGCAGTTCAGATGAAATTCATATATAAAAGCAACCCTTATCTGCTGAAAAATTCACGAGGGCCAGCTTGCTGTCATGTAAACTTGGAAAAAAAAGGAAAGCTTAAAATAAATTCTGTCTCCGTGTGTCGCTTAATAGAACCATTATTTGC